CCGGCGACGATCCGCCGATCTCCCCGCCTCCGGGCTGTCCGCGTCTCCCGTCAGGCCGTTTTCAAAAGTGACTCAGCAGGTCTGGAGTGGGATGTCGGTTTCTCTACCTTTGCCCTGCTCCGTTCTCGCTGTTCTTCCGAGTTGTGTGGATCTTTTTGGCTCCACACTGTCCCAGGGAGCCTCACGGACCTCTCCCTGCGATTCCCTGCTGTTCCTCTTTGCTGCTTCTGTGACTTTCTATCCCTCTTTCACTGGAGACTCCCTCACAGCCTTCCTCCTACGTCGGCCATCTTCTCTTCCCCTATAAAATATTTGTTAGGTTAATTTTGGATCTATTGTGTGCTTAACACAAATGTTTGCTTATTTTGGGGGGGAGATTGGGGTGATCTATCCATTGATGGAAATGGGATTTTTGAAGTTTTATACAATTACTGTAATGGAGGTTATCTCTGTGTCTAATATTGAGTGCTCCAGCATTGAGTGCATGTCCATTTATAACCGGCTTATCTTCTTGCTGAACTAATCCTTGATGGCTATGTAATGACCTTTCCCCCCCTTTATTTACAGTTTTTGACTTCCAGTTTGTTTTGTTTACTATAACCATAGCTACTACTCACTTTTTTGTTTGCATATGATATTTTTTCATCCTTTCACTTAGAATTGCTTGTGTATTTAATGGTGAAGTGGGTATCTTATAGGCAGCATGTCATCAGATCTTGTTTCTATATTCTTTCAGTCAGTCTATATCCTTCAACTGGGGAATTTACTCTTTATGTCCAATGATATTATTGGTGATTAGTCTTATTATTTATTTTCTTCTTATTCATATTATATATACTTAAAAGGGAGTACATCTTTTTGCTAATGTGTGTGACACATTAACCTGTTATATCTTTATGTTTCGTAAGGCTGGTTTTGGTGTGTTGCATTGCACTAGATTTTGCTTGTCTTGGCAAGCCTATTTTCCCTTCATTTATGAACAATATCTTTACTTGGTAATGTATTGGCTTAAGTTTATTTTCCTTTTAGAACTTCAAATATGTTATTCCATTCCCTCTTGGTCTATAAAGTTTCTATTGAAAAATACACTGTGAGTTTATTGGATTTTATCTTAAACATGGCTTGGTGCTATTCTCCCTGTGCTGTACTTCTATCACAAAGATGATCCTTTCTGATCATGTCTATGGTCCTATGGGCCACCTGTAGGTTATATGTTTATGCCTTTCTCCAGCTTGAACATTTTGCAATATTTCACTGAACAGTTTCTCTAGTCCTTTTTTCTTATGGATTCCCCAAATTTGAATATTTGCTTCATGATGTCACACAGGACTCAGAAGCTGTCTTAATTATATTCTCTTTATCTCTTACTGGGATATTTAAAAAATCTGCAAGTCCATATATTCTTAGTTTGATCAATTCTGTTGAGGATTTCAGCTGCATTTTTATATCACTTTTGGAGTTCATTTCTGAGATTTCAGTTTTTTTTTCCAAGATCTGGGTCTCTGATAAATTTCTCATTAATTTCATTTTTTGATTGTTATAATTTTAAATAAAAGTGTGTACATTAACATAATCTTATTCCTTAAGAGCAGTAAATGTACCTTCTCAAATATAAATATTTATGACAGCCTGAACCTTAGAAAGATTTCACTGCATTTCCAAAGTAAGTTATATAACTGTCACCTTTTTTTAATTTAAAAGTTTTATTTATTTTTATTGGAAAGGCAGATTTTACAGAGGAAAGGAAGATGTTCTCTCTGCTGGTTCATTTACCAAGCAGCAGCAAAGGCTGGAGCTGAGCAGTTCTGAAGCCAGGAGCCTTTTCTAGGTCTCCCAGGCAGGTGCAGGGTCCCAAGGTTTTGGACTGTCTTCGACTACTTTTCCAGTCCACAAGCCGGGAGCTAGAAGGGAAATGGAGCAGCTGGGATACAAACTAGTGCCCAAATAGAATCCCAGCACATGCAAGGCAAGAACTTTAGCCACTAGGTTATTGCACCAGGCCTAACACTGACGTCTTAATAAGAGTATATTGCTAGAAACAAATAGTGACAATTTAAAGGAAAAGTACCTCAAAACACTTGGAAATTTTAGAACTAGATGCATCAAAGTCACAAGAGTTTATGCAAACTAGAAAATACCCAATATGAGAATATAATTTACCAAAACCTATAAGCTGTTTGTGGTACATTTACAACCCTAAAGAAAAAAGAACAATGAAACTTACAATTTAGGGAAAATAGAAAATAAATTAATGGAAACTAAAGAAAGAATAATAAGCCCTGGGGCTCTCACCATGTGTAGTATGTTATACCTCTAGCTGTGGTGCCAGCATCTTATAATGGGCACCGGTTCAAGTCCTGGCTATACCATTTCTCATCCATCTTTCTGTTAATATGTTTGGGAAATTAGCAGAGGATGGCCCAAGTGTTTGAATCCATGTGGAAGACCCAGAGGTAGTACCAGGCTCCTGGCTTTGGACTGGCTGAGCTTTTCTGTTGTGGTTGTTTGGGAAATAAATCAGTGAGTGAAAGATTTCTTTCTCTGTCTTTCCTCTTTGTAGATCTGCCTTTTAGATAAAAAATAATTAAATCCTAAAAAAAAGCCTTAAAGTAAACAAAAGAAATGAAGCAATACTGAGAGAAAATAAACTTAACTTTTTGTAGAATTGAGAACTATGACCAAGCACAAGTTCTTCAAATAAAACAGATTCATCACTGGTAAATTTAATTTTAAAATAAAACAAAATGTAACAAATAATTTTATGGTAATATTTATAGATAAGATTGATTCATTATAGAGTAAAATAAATTATCCTGCATGAAAAAAATGAAAACTTTGAAACATAATTTTCAGAAAAATAAATCAAATTGAAGTTGAAGACATCTATATAAAAGTATGGCAGAAATTAAAAAATATAGCAGATGATCAAATAGAACTTTCTGTTTAAAATTATTAATAAAACATTAATGAGATTCAATCTAATCTCAAGAATTGACCAAGGGAGAGCCAGCAGTAACAGGAGCTTCAGTCATACGGGTGCATTTAGAAGGCTTTTCAATCTACACAGTCTGAGTGATGTCTGTTCAGATAAGGAGCTGGGAGCTTGGGTTTACGTGCAGCTACTGAATGGCCATGGGAGAGCCTGCCGCAGAGAATGCACAGAATAACATCAGTGGCAGAGTGAATATAGCCAACACTGGGGCCACTTGAGAGGAAAGGCAGATCTCTCTTCAAAGGGTCCAGATACATGGCAAAGAACAAGTGGAAGTAGGCTGTGCTGTAGTCAATCATCATACTCTGTCCTTGTACATCTTTCTGTGAAAGTCTACCTCCAAAATGCATTTTCTATCCAGTACCACCACGACCCAGCCAGGCAACAATGTCCTGAATTCATCAAACTGAAATGCTCCACACCCTGGCCCTGCTGCCTGCTGTAACACCTCCCCGAGGCACAGGGAACATCCCCCAGGACAAATGCAGACGTGCTGAGGGCCATCCAAACTCCTGCCTGGATTCTCTTACTGATTGTCTCAGACCACATCGTGGGGAATTGACAAAGCACTTTCATTTCAGACCTAGAGCTTTCTTCACAAAGTTCTCGTTAAGCCATTTTTTTCACTGGGCTGCCTCCTCCCTCATGTCTTAGCTCAGAAAGCAACTCCTTGAACCATTAATTTATTTCTTAATTTCATGTAACCATTTGCATATATTTCTTTTAATTTGGGAATATTATCTTATTCCTTTTTCTCTTCCAGTGTTGATAATGTGTGCTATATGGCAGAGCAATTGTCAGTCACTTTCAAAGGTGGAATCCTTGGTAGTCTTTGGCATTAGAATCGTACACTATCCATGATACTCAATGGAATGAATTCAAAGCACAAATGAAAAAAAATGAATAAACAATGTGGTTATCAAAGCAAGTTAATTACATTCCAAGTTGGATGTAACATCAGGGATGAATTTTTGCTTTTCCTTCTGATGCTCTTCTTTCTTTCCTGTCACTGCCAAGGCAGGTGAAACTGAATTGCATAGTCCAATTTTAAGGGAATAGTTCCTTACACAAGGACATTTATTCCCTCATTGATTTCAGCATAGCTGAACTTGTCAAGTAGATGTCTGTACCCTGACTTAGCTCTTTCCAGATAAATGTCTGTGAAAGAGCAGCTGACTAAGTAGCTTTATGAACATTCATATTTGAACACTGGCATTCTCTGTCTGCCTCGTGTTCCTTTATCTTCTCATTCTGAACAACACTACATTATAGCTTCTCTGTCACAAAGTCTACTAGAGAAAGTTAACCAAACTTTAGCTTAAGAGAAAGTGAGCTAAATTAGACTTTTCTGAAAGTGGTTTTTGTAGATAAGGATTCTTTCTTTGCTCTCAGGCAAAAACCAATCTGACTTGGATATGTTGTGCTCAGGAAACAAGTGATTGATTTTTAACTTTCTTAACACTTATATGAACTACAAACATAATTTTCTGATCCAGCATGTTAAATACAGAATTTTAAATGTGATATTTTTGAGTGGATCAATTTAGTTTGTTGCTTTCTAATTTCTAGATATAGCTAATACCTTTAAATCTCCCCGGCCAAAGTTATAAAGGCTAAATGACTGATGTTTCTGGAAATATCCTGAGTTTCTGCTTGCTTCATTGGTTATATACAAAGTAATGTCTTGTAAGAAATCAGCAGCTATTTTGTGGCCAGAGAACGTTAGTAAGCATTATTATTTATTAATGACTCTGCTCTTAAGTGATTTACGGTATGAACAAACTTCAGGCATATGTTTGTTACTGCAATGAATGTTTTTTTGAAATAACTCTACCAAAGGTTTCTAAAAATTCACCTGGACAGGAAGCCTAAGCATTTGGTGAGTTGTGTGTAGTTAGAGGTAAAACAGAAAGGTTTCTCAGGAGAGTGTGAAAGTGTTTGCATTAGCAGTAAGCAGACCCATTCCTTGTGTTTGGGCATGATTTTACAGTGTGCTGTGTTGTTTCAGGTGGGGAATCCTGGAGAGCCTGGTTTGAGAGGGCCCGAAGGTAGCCGGGGGCTTCCTGGAATTGAAGGCCCCAGAGGACCGCCTGGCCCCCGAGGTGTACAGGGAGAACAGGGTGCCACTGGCCTGCCCGGCATCCAGGGCCCTCCGGTGAGTGGCATACAGACCCAGGCTCTGCCATTAGAGATTCAGTCCCACCGCAGCAACTTGTCCTGTAAATCCAGCCCCTTGGCTCCTTCAAGTCTGGCAGTTGAGAATTAAACACTGGTCTCTTTATGCTTGTGTGTATCAACTGCACTCTTTTTCCTTTCCTGTCCCAGGGTAGAGCACCGACAGACCAGCACATTAAGCAGGTTTGCATGAGAGCCATACAAGGTAAACAAATCACACTGATTCTTTCTCCAGCATAAACTCTTGCTTCTTTTTATTCTTTTTAGTTTGTGAGCATCAATAATCATGACTTTCTGTGTGCTTTAAAGGTGGGAGATTTTCGGTAACGTTAGTGCCAACTCTGCTTTATCCAGTTGTGGCCATTTGCAAAGCTTGAAAGTAAAATAATACCTTTGTTTGCTAGCATTTTTCTTTTGATGAGCAGGTTAATTTATAAGCACAAACACAGGGTTTTATTTTTGTGTCTTTTCCCTTTCTTAAGGTTCTTAGTATATCCCTAGGCATGCCTTTAGTTCTTGCTGCATTGCTTGAGAAATAAACTCTAGTCTACACATTGACTTGAAGCACAAATATACTCTGTCCACTCATATCCTACCCATGTGAAAGCTCAATGACTGACACTTTACCAACATGGCGATGTATTTGTTTTTAACATTTGCCAAACTTTAGTTAAATCGATCTGTGGCTATGACAATTGTCACTTATTTCAGAACATGTTCAGAACTGTTCTCAAATATCACAGAGCATGAAGATGGGTGCAAATACCATAAAACAGATGATGTGATCTAACATTGGACCAATTCTATCATGAAGAAATCTCCTTTTTTTTTTTTTAAAGATTTATTTTTATTATTTTTTATTGGAAAGGCGGATATACAGAGAGGAGAGACAGAGAGGAAGATCTTCCATCCAATGATTCACTCCCCAAGTGAGCCGCAACGGGCCGATACTATGCCGATCCGAAGCCAGGAGCCTCTTCCGGGTCTCCCACGCGGGTGCAGGGTCCCAAAGCTTTGGGCCGTCCTCAACTGCTTTCCCAGGCCACAGGCAGGGAGCTGGAAGGGAAGCGGGGCTGCCGGGATTAGAACCGGCGCCCATATGGGATCCCGGGCGTGCAAGGCGAGGACTTAACCACTTGCGCCACCGCGCCGGGCCCGAAATCTCCTTTTTTGTCTATTTACTAATTTGTCTAGTAGAAAGAGCTGCAGAGTTTCATAAACCAGGCTAGAGTGAAATTATTTCTTTTGTTTTAGAAAATTGATACAGCTCTATTCATTTCTGACATTTTATCTTAAAAGTCTATTTCAGCTTTAAAAATTATATACCTAGAAAATTATGATTTTTATCCTGTTAAAAAGGTAAACTTAGAATACTCACATTTAGAATAAACAAGTTTAAAGTACTAGAAATTTATTTTCAATTCGTACTTGCTTTCCAACTTCAAAGCTTTAAAAACATTACAATATTTCCCTAGAATATTTAAGCGCAATTTATTTTTAATAAGTTGATTTTGATTTCATGGCTTTAGTGGGTGAGTCTTGGTTTATTTAATGGTTTTTGAAGACATCTGCTTGCTTTTTAATTTTTAAGAGACTGGCTATTCCGAAGAAACGGGTTATTTCTAATGTTCGCTATCTATTCCAAGCATGAACTACATTGGAGAGAGTGAATTTATAAGAAGCTGTAAATCCCCAAGAGATTATGTAATCTTCCAACTAAAAAGGTTTTAATTTTGAGACTAAGTCTGGAATGGTGTCTGAGCACTAATTCTGGACAATGTCCTTGGCTTTTAAAGACACCCACTTCTGCTCATACTCGGAAACCAATTTCCCTTCCCATCTTAGGTTTTCAGATACTCAAACCAGAATTCTCACAACACTTGAATCTTTCCAGAATATTCCTCACTCCAAAGCCCTGCAATTTATATCTTCCTTTCCCTCCCCTCCACTCCCCTCCCCTCCACTCCCCTCCCCTCTCCTCTCTTCTCCTCTCCTCCCTTTCTCTTCTTCCCTTCCTTTCTTCCTCCTCTCCCTTCCTCTCCTCTCCTCTCCTCTCCTCTCCTCTCTTCTCTTCTTATCCTCTCTCAGCCTCCTCTCCTTGTCACTTCTGCTCTTTGCTGCAAAACATCAGGACCAAATACATCCAAGAAGAGCTGAATAAACATCACCTGTGAAGTTTCCTGGTGGGCAGCCCATGGAAATATTATCCAGCTCAACTCAGTGCTTTACCGCCCCCTCCCCTGTTTCGAAGTTCCGGTGACACATTTAGAAACAAGGCATTTGGAGTGCTTCTCTTAACTTTGAAATCACTTTCACACTCCTGACTGCTGGTTTGTTTTGTTTTTTACCCTTTAGAACATTTTGCTGAGATGGCTGCTAGTCTCAAGCGTCCAGATTCGGGGGCTTCAGGCCTCCCTGGAAGACCTGGTCCCCCTGGCCCCCCTGGTCCTCCTGGAGAGAATGGTTTCCCTGGCCAGATGGGAATTCGTGGCCTCCCTGGCCTGAAAGGCCCACCTGGTGCTCTTGGTTTGAGAGGACCTAAAGGTGAGTCATTGTACCCAGGAACACATGCTGTCCTTTTTCAGCTGTGTAATTCATATCCAACCTGAAGGAATTCATGTTTTATCAGTCGTAGGGTGTTCAGTGAGCTAAGGATATGCATTGTTCTTCTAAAAAAATAAGACTGCAGAACCTACATGGTATTCCTTGACCCTGCTCTGCCACTAGCAGCAAAGCCTCCACCTGTGTCAATACTGATCATTCCTAATGCTCTCAGCTTCGACTGTAGCTCAGAATACACTTCACAAAGTCCGGTGGAGGGTTATTTAGCAGTTGTTGTTGTTGAGATCCTGAGGTCATTGTGGAACTTTTCTAATGTGTCAGCCATTTTTAGAATGTTTATATCTCTTACTTACACTACCACAATTTTAAGCAACAAATAAGACGAATTACAGAGGCTCTTCAGTATTCTTAAAAAGTCTTTTTTTTTCCCCCTAACTGTAATGTACAGTCCATTTTCATTCCTTCTTTCATGTTAGAGTTTGTATTTTTACCTCTCTTTAGAGCAGGTGGAGCACTGGCAAGCTGTATTATGCAGAGAAGTAGGGTCGGGTGTGAGTTAGATATTCAGCAGGACCAGCAGGACTGCTGGCTCCACGTGCAGTTCGCTGTTTGGGGGGAGTATGTCAAGTAAGGGTATCTGCGCACCCTCAATAACCTACAGGGACAGTGAAATAATATGAAGAGAGTGTCTACCATGAAGAGCTACTGACAGCTCCCTGGCAACTTCAGAAAGATACGCCACCAAAAACAAGAGGGGGACTTTTCTCTTTTTCTGTTAATACTGTGGATATCTAATTAGGAATAGACGTTATGGTGTGAGTGGTCAGAGGGCAAGCAAGCTGTCTCCTCGGATCCACAGATAAATTGCTGATGTATTTGGCTAACTAGACCCTCGGCTGGAACAATTTATTTGATTATTTAAAAAATTTTCCCTTGGCATGTACAGAATTGAATGTTAAGGAAAAAAATGAGCTTTAATTGGGGCCTCTTGTGAGACTGGCATAATTTCAAAGCTTCCAGAGACTGAACAAATTGGAGCATCAGAGGAGAGTTCATCTTAATGAGAACTGGTTGCTTTCCCTGAAGTGATCACGTGCAGACCCATTCCTCTTTGACCTGCTTTCGGCCACTGGCGGGGCGCTCAGACTTGGGTGCTCTGTCTGGTTAGTCTCAGTTCACCCTGGAATCCATTTCCAAGGAGCCCTGCTGACTTAGGTAGATCTATAGATGCTGACTCGGTTCTCCCCAAGGTTCGCTTGAAACAGCAGTTCTTTTTTTTTTTTTTTGAAACTATTTTTTAAATTTATCTTTTTCTGAAAAAAATAAAATTACCCTTTGTCCCATCCGCTCCCACGGTTTTCTCCTATATTATAAGTTATATGGTCCTTCATCAACAGGCACAAGTCCATCATTATCCTTTCTAAGTGTTTGATGAGACTGTAGGTATACACAATGTTAGAAAGTTCAGCATTCTATTGTCAAGTTATATTTAACAGTTCCATTGCAAGACCATCTTTTATTCAGAAGTGGAGATTGCATATGAAATATTACTCAGTCATTAAAAGAATGAAATTCAACCATTATGCTCAGTGAAATAAACCAATCCGCAAAGACAAACATCATATATTCTCTGATATAAGGCAATCTTCCTGCAAATATACAAGATCAGTGGGTACATGGATAAACATGTATGTAAATATACTTATCCAGAGGCACTGTATAATGGAGGCAAGTATACCGTGAAGTGGAGATGCATCGCAGAACAGCAGTTCTCAAAGAGGAGTGCCTGGAATAGCAGCCTCTCCAGGGACCGGAACCTGAGATTCTCCGTTGGCTGCAGACCCCCTGATTAAGAACCTTGGCTCCTGGGGCCCAGCATTCTCTGGTTTAACAAGCTCTCCAGGTGATTCTGACACTGCCCTGTGTCAGTGTGATATGGTCAGCCATGAATCACAGCTCCGTTTCAACGTGTGAGAAAGGAAGTCTTCACAGTTGAGGCAGAGCTTATCTTCAAGAAATGAAAGTCTATTTTGCGTGTTGTGCCAAGAGAAAGTTTAATTCCTCCCTTTCTCAGTCCTTGGCTCATACTCGAGTCACCAAGGTAGTGTTAAAAACCACTTTGTGGTTAACTCCCAGAGACTGATGTGCTTGGGCTGGGCATTGGGGTTCACATATGTGCCCCAAATGATCTTAATGCACAGCCAGAGTTAAGAACAGCTGGAAACAATGGTAAACTGCTTAGGAAGCTTTCTTAGGAAGCGCTTAGCCATACAAGGTGTGTCTAGACTGAAATGAAGGCAAGTTTATTTCTATAGTTGGATCCTGGAGAATGTTTTTGGCACTCAAATAATTTGTGACGCGTAACTTGATTATTTAAGCTATTTCCCCTCAATTTTTCTTATTTTTTTTTGTAGTAGTCAATGTACTCTGAAGTGATACAATCTTTTATTTTAAAAAATACTTCCATTCTCTCCCGACTCTTGTTCTAGTCCTTGAATCGAAGGCAGCATCTTGCCTGTGTTTTTGAGAACTGTGGGATAAAGGCTGGCAGGAGAGCTGGGAAGGTCTTATCAGTCAGTGCTGCCACACTTTGCCAACCAGGCCTTTCTTATTCTGTATATACATGAACATATTTAGTGGAAAACACACAGTTTCCTGCTATCCAAGGATTTGCAGCTCAGTTTTTCCCTGATAATATTCATTATTATAAATCATTCCACTATTTAAGAACTGAATTTTCAGCCAATTTACCCAAGAGATGCATTTCCATATTGCCTGTTGCCTTTCTTCCTATGCCTAGGAAAGGGAAGGCTGAATCCTGGTGTAAGTCACTGTGAGTGTGCTTTTGTAAAGAAATTGCCACATACATACCAAATAGTTTTATTATTAATTTTCTAACAGTTCAGGCAATATTTTAGTCACTATTTTCATCCTAATCTTTACTTTGAGAAACACAGTGGGGTGTTTTCAATGAAAGAGGTTATAGAAACATGCAAGTCACATGTGTAATTTTTCTTTGTTTTTCATTGACATGTTTTATATAATATCACACACAGAGAGGGCAGTGTGCATGCGTCTATTTTATACATATAATCAGGCAGAAACAGAAACAGGTGCTGTGATGCTCATTTTCCTTAGTATGACATCATGATTTTATGTTATAATTTAAAAATGTTCATGATTCAGATTAATTTTAGATCCCTTTGAATAAGGCTGTGCATTTTTTGATACTGTTGTGAGCCAAGCAGTTGTGTCAGTATGCAAATGAAGGCTTGAGAAAATCTATGTGTCCTAATGGTGACCCTCAGTTTCTTTGGTAAGAATCTGTTCCCATGGAGAATGGTGTCAATTGTAGCTTGTGAATAAATGTAGTAAAAAGAGGCTAAGGTGCCATGAGAATTTCCATTCTGCATGTAATGATTTGTTTCTCTTCTCAAACTGTGCATGTTCCTTTTTGCTTATGGAAGCTTATTTCACAAGCACTGCTACATATTCTTCTGACTGAGAGGGCTCGCAAAGGTAGAGCTTTATTCCCTGAGCCAGTTTCTGTGCATTTCAGAGTCAGACAGGAGCAGGAAGAGGCTGAGGAGCCCGGATGGTGGATGGAAGCAGCCTCCAGGCACGGTTTGCATGGAGTAGCCATTGGCACAATGTTCCTATCTCAGTGCTACCTCAAGTTTGCTTTCCTGTGGCCGATGATCAAAGGGATCCCAGCTAAGACATTGTGTTATTTGAAGGTTGGTGTGGCATCATTGTGGTATATGCAAATAAGTTCCTTGCACCACCAGTGAGAAGACTACATTTTAATTTATAATATGCTTCTCCTGCCTTCAGAAAATATAGCTCATTTAGAGATTCATTTCCTCATCATCAGCCTTCAGAATTTTGGTAATATGACATTTAAATTGCTAAGTTAACAAGAATGGTTAAGTTTTCAGTCTTTAAAACACCAATTGCCATAGCAGCCTGATAAAGTGAAGCCACATGGATAATGAGTGTGCTAAAATGACAGTGCAGCTCAGGGAAAATTGACAACTTTTAACATCCTATCTGTGAATATTGTTCAAGTCTAATATCCTTTAGATTTGTTAAAATTGTTTTCTTATTAGACATGAATATTTCCCAGTAAGCTTATTTGTGGTTATTTAATATTTTAATGTTTATTACATAACTCTTTTCACAGATTTTTATTATCTTTGTGCCCTGGAAGCTTATTTTTAAAATATAGAATTGATTTTCTAGAGATTTAGGGTATGTATTCATATTATCTGAAATGGAGATTTTAAAAAATTCTTTTATTTGGATAATCTTTACATAGTTGATTAGGGCACAAAGGGTCAAGGGCTACAGGAAAGTGGGTAAGACCATTGTTTCCACATTAATATATATATATTTTCTGTATCTGGGGTAAGGGGAGAGGTAAAGGCAGAAGCCCCACCCCACTCACCCCAGGCCCCTGATGTGGGGCATGCTCTGAGGATCCTGCTCAAGCAGTTTTGATAGTTCAACACTTCTGAATTGCTGCCGATCTCACCATTCCAGCATGATCAAATCTCTTCAGAATACATTGACTGACATAGTCTCTTCATGGTTGGAGTTCTGAGATCAGCAGTTCAGTTGGAGGGATCTCCAAAGAAACTTCCTCTGGGGTGATCCCAACCTGATTCTTGTGTGTGTGCTTGCCAGTACAAGGTCTAGCACAGTCTGTCGCCCCAGTCAGCTAATGCAAATGCAAGTGGTTGCATTTGATGGGTCAGTTCTTTTTCCAGCCCTGTCTTCCACACGAACCAGTGGGTGTTACAGTCAAGCCTGATGCTGCCCAGCACACACTCAGCCCTCACGCAAACCAGTGGGAGCTGCAGCCTAGTTGGGGGGCGACTGTCTATAACACCTACCAGGCCTGCCCCCTACCCTGGTTCCCATGCTTGCCAGTATGTACCGCAGACTTGTTCAGTCTGTCCCACATCCCATTTAGCTCAGTGGGCATTGAAGCCTAGTTCAACCTAACCAGCCCTACTATCCAGTCCACATACATGCTGGTGGGTGCTGTTCTGTGTAACCACCCCTGCGCCTGTCCTGGTTTTCATGCTCTCCAGTGGGAGTGGTAACCCAAGAGGGAGGTGCCCACTATTTCCCTATTGGACCACTCCCACCTCAGATCATGCATTCTCCAGGTGGTTTTGCAGTTTAACTTGACAGAATTAGCCCCCAGTGCCACCCTCTGCCAGCTGATGCTGTGGCAAAGTTCAACCAACCCTCATACTCTCTTTTTGATGCTTGCACCCTTAGTAATGATCACCCTAGCCTGGCTTTCCCTTGATCCAGCTCATATGAGGCCTACAGGTATTGCAGCCCTTCCTGGTCTGGTCTGCCCCCATCCCAGCTCAAGCTCTCCAGTGAGTGGTGTTCCAGCAGGGGGGCTTCCCACATTCCCCCTACCAGCTTTACCCCCCATCCCCGTTCTTACATTTGTTGCTTGGGCACTGTGGCCCAGTCTGGCATGGCCCACCTCACCTCGGCATTTGCCAGTGAGTGCTGGAGCCTGGCCTGGCCTGGCTGGCTTGGTCCACCCACAATTCCAGTTGAGCTGATGATGGTGACAGTCTTGTCCAGCCCAGCAGGCAACCAATCCCAGTCGTAATGTGCACTGGCATGTGTTGCAACTGAACCTGGTCCAACCCACACTGTTCTGGTGCTCAGGTTTGCCAGAGGATGATGTGAACTGATTCAGCCTGGTCTGCCCCCAACGTGGGCCAAATGTATGCTGGTGGGTACCTTTCCCTGCCTGACCTGGGCTGCTCCCTATCGTGGTTCTTGCGCTCACCTGAAATGGGGATGTTTTAAACTCCTCAAACCAAATGATCCAAGGTAGAGATAAAATGGACATTGTGGTTCCAGTTCTTAAATTTCTCATTCTGTATTACACTAGATACGGGTTGGGATATATTTTATCATGTTAAGAAAATAGTGATTGATTCTTTATTAAATTCTTAAAACATGCTTGTTGAATTGTCAGATGTTTTCTTAGTATCCATGGTTATGATTCCCACCCCTACATTTAGGCTGGTTAATAATAGTGACCTTTTTACTAGTTGAAAATTTGCTAGAATTTTACCTGTTGCAGCTTCATAAATTTCTGGTTTCAAAATTTAGGCTTCCTGAAGTTTTTTTTTTTTAAATTTTATGATACAGTTCCATATGGTCTGGGATTTTTCCACCCACCCCCTTCAAAGTTCCATCCTCCGACTGCTTTTCCCCATATTATTACAGTAGTAGAGTCCTTTATGAGCAATCATAAGTCCATCAGTCTGTTATTTGTGTCCTGATATTACTGGTACAAACAATGTCAGAAGTCCCGCATCCCATTGTCTAGATAAGTTAAACAGTTTAATTGGGCATCCATCTTCAGTTTGGAAGTAGAGATGCATACTGCATTGCATCTTCACATCTAGATATGATAGTCTCTATTACACCATAACCATACATTCCCTTAAATGAGAAGCCATGAGATGGTCAACAACAGGTATGAAGTTAAAACAAACAGCACCATGGGGTCAAAAAATGTACCACTGAATAACCAAGGCAGGGATGAAGAAAAGACAAGATGTCATCGTGTGATCCATGAGCCAGTGATGAACTTGACAAGGGAAAAGAAACGGTTTGGAAGAAATGAAAATGAAAACAAAAACATCAAAACACATGAGATGCAATAAAAACAGTATGGGAAAGGTTGTTGATCTTACAGTTTGTGTGATGGCTGCCTTATATCCGAGAGAACATATGGTATTTGTTCTTTTGGGATTGACTTATTTCACTGAGCATAATGGTCTCTACATGGGGCCATCTAGTTGCAAATGGTATAATTTCATTCTTTTTATTGGTTGAGTAATATTTCATGAGTAGATGTACCAGTTTCTTTAATACTCCTCTTTGAACAGGCATCTGGGTTGTTTCCATGTCTTTGCTATTGTAGATTGTGCTGCTGTAAATGCAAGATTACAGATTCCCTGTTCATATGCAGTTTTTATTTCCTTTGCATATATTCCTAGGAGCAAGATAGCTGGGTCATATGGCAGGTTTATTTGCAATTCTCTAAACACTCTCCATACTGGTTTCCATAGTGGCTGTACGAGCCTACACTCCCATGGGCAGTGATGAAGGGTACCTTTCTCCCCACATCTATGCCAGCAGGTGTTGTTGGTAGAGTTCTGAATCTAGGCCACCCTCACTTCAGTTAGGTGGGACTTCAGTGTGGTTTTCATTTGTATCTTTCTGATGGCTAGGGAGCCTGAGCATCTTTTCATGTCTATTTCATATGTCTGTTAGCCTTGATATTAATTTCAATATCTATATTAAAATAACGTTTCCTTAATGAAATGCAGGTGACTTGGGAGAAAAGGGAGAGCGTGGCCTTCCAGGAAGAGGTCCCAAGGGTTTGCCTGGAGCAACAGGTCTCCCAGGTAAGTGTCTTATGTGGCAGGGATGAATGGAGAAATTGATGGCGAATGAACAGTGTGAACTGAATAACATTTTAAAGGAATTGCCATTTGGCCACTTAAGTAAATCTGGTGATCATAATGACTGACATAGATTTAGCAAAGCCATCTGCAATGAAAAGTTATTTGTAAATTATATCCTATTCATTGCAAGAAAAAAGTGTCAGATTTTGAAATAATAATTCTCAAGTAGTTGCTTTAAGAAAAACAGTGTTCAATCCGGTCACAGTGTAATTCCTAGCAAGTTCTGGAGGAGTGAGTTGCATCTGTTTCTAGCCTAGGTGACAGCTTCCTGCTTTTCACTTTTTAAGAGGCCAGAGCAGTAGGAAAAACTAATTCAAGTTCTCAATAACCACTGAAGCTTTATTGTTAAAGCTCCCCCTTTCCAATATCCACACACTCCCAGACCTCATCTGCAGCCTTGCCGTCTGCCATCCCTAAAACCTGTTCATTCCTGCTGATGGTTACAAAGAGCCACACACAGGCGCACACCCAGCTGCATGGATGGAGATGACAGAGCAGCCTCTGTGTGAAGGACCTGGCGTGGCTCACTAGCCTTCTGTTCTCCTTACACTGGCTGCTTTGTCGCCAGGACTCAGACTGGAGTACACACCACTGGGAAATGACTTACAGACACAAGCACAGGCGCAGCACAGCTGGGCTGCAAGCCAGTTCAATCTGAAGGTGTGAATGATGTGCAGGCTTCCAGCTCATTCTCTGCAGTGACTGAGACAAAGAGGCTGGCTCTCCCAGCGTCAGCTGTTGCACAGAGCAGAGGTGACAGTGCTGTTCAGAGAAAAAGGAGTGAAGTGGTACTTGGTTCTGCCATGGATTTGGAAAACGTGACTTAGGGAAATTTAGAAAAGTTACTTTCTAATTCTGCCAGAAGCTTACCTATTTAATCACAGCTGTAATTGTATCCCCTAATAGGATTTCTTTCCAAGTATCCATTTTATTGCTGCTATGACTGCTTGCTCATTAAAAACAAAAACAAAAAAACAAAAAACCTTAGAAAATATAAATGTATTGGAGCTAATTCCAATTCTGCTTTTTAAAAACTGAATCATGAGTCTGTTGAGATGCTTTTACAAATTAGTCAGTTCTTGTGATTGGATGAGGAAGATTTTATGATTGGAAAAGGAAAGACAATCTGGTGTTAGTGGGATCAAGAGATGATTTTAGTGTGTGATGCAGTCTGGGTTCAGTGATGGGTACTTAGAAAAACAAAATGGAATTTACTAAGAGTTTTTTTTCTTCTTTTACAAGTAGTGGTTGATAGGAGGTTGTTGGACTGAGGATTGTTCAGGAAAGTTTTCATTCTGTGCGTTCAAATTCACTGGAGAAGGATAACTGATGAATCACATCTTGTGGGTACTAGGAGTATGACCCGTGTGTGCAGACACTTTGCCTTCTTGGATGTGAAGTCACGGCTGTCTTTATGTTGGACCACAACAGGCTACGAGACTGTTTAGTTTTCTTGGGCAGTTTACAGACATATGAGCTGTGCTTAGGGATAGTGACTGTAAATTTGTGTGCATGCAAGTTTGTATAATCAGCAGATTAACTATCAAATACTCTAATGCTGAAAATTATTTCATGTTTTCGTTTCTCCATAACATGTATTATTAGGTAGCAAGCATCCTCCCATAGATGGGCTAGTCAGAATGGACCTTCAGCAACGTAACATGACTCCCCTCTAGTGGTCATACGTAGAATGACATACTCATTTTAAAAATTAACTGTGACATTCTTACAGACTCTTGGCATTTTAAAAAATCATGCAATCACTAGGCAGCTAGTGTAGCAAACACTTAAGGTAATGCAAAAGGGTAAAACACGATCCAATATTTTTCTCAAATTGCACACTAGTTTATGTGCATTCTCGAAGACAGCTGTTGGCCTAAACATTTATGCCTTATTTTGTAAAGAATTGTGAATCTGCATCACTTCTTGAAAGACTTGGTCTGTGACATGGTGTCACTCCAGGAAGAGGTTATCACACAACAAATTTAGAGCATGCTTGAGAACCAAGCTCTTTGTGGAAGTGGTTTATTCTTTGGCATAACTTTGATTTTATATGAAACCCAAGTCCAGGGAAGAAAATTTGTCATGCTAAGCATCCATTTTCAAAAGCATTTATTAAGTCTCCCTTATGTGCACATGCAGGGCTGTGAGAGTAGAGCACTTTCTGCCAGTCTGCAGCTCCGAGGATTCTCCTGCTGACTTGTGCAATCTTTCGTGTTTTTCAGGTGACCCAGGCCCTGCCAGTTATGGGAGAAATGGCCGGGATGGGGAGCGAGGCCCCCCTGGAGTGGCAGGAATTCCTGGTGTACCTGGTCCTCCTGGCCCACCTGGCCTTCCTGGTTTCTGCGAGCCGGCCTCTTGCACCTTGCAGGCTGGTCAGCGAGCATTTAGCAAAGGGCCTGATCAGTGAGAGGCTTAATATTACAAGGCTGGCTGCACTTGGTGAAGGAGCTTGGCAGAGGACTACCCTGCAAAGCTGGGGTAGAGGTGGCATGCATTACCTTCAACATGATTCCAGATGCCCTACAACCAGAGTTAGAGCATTGGTGCTATTCAACTAGTCCTCTTTCCTCTCGGAGGGAAGATGATGAAGTCAGTGGTAACAAAAAATGAAAAGCCAGAAATTCCCCCATATAAAGTACAGAGTCCTATTCCTAAGATCTTGAACTTCAGTGTGCTATTTATATACATGATTCATAGTGGGCCACGGTGCCAATAAACAAAGACAACTGGTTTACCTCAGTTGCAGTAGTTTTCATTTTCACTTGGATGTTTTCAGAATATTTCAGTTACTAGCTTTAAAGGAACCCCCTACGTTGAAGGGAATGGTGCTTTACATGCCCTCTGTGCTCTCGAGTGGCCATGAAGAGCCGCGTCACCCAAAATGATCTCCTCCTGTTGGTTTTCATCTTCAGCCTGAATTTTTATTGAACTGTATGTACTGTACCCCACACTCATTACTATTTTGAGCTCTTCCATGTGAAATCAAAGAAGACATTTTAATATTCTGGCAATCGTAAGTTTTACTGGTGAGTTTATTTATTTTTAGAGGGTGGACATAACATCTCTGGTTGTACCAAAGCAGAAATAAATATGGTTTCTTAATATCTTGGATGCTTTCTTACAAATGTGTTCAATGAGAAGTAGTCATTCATCTTATAATTGCCAATATTTTGACAGGCACCAGTTTTTTTTTTTTAATATTAGTGCTTCTACACAGAAAAAAAAAATATTTCCAGTGGAGGAGATTCTACTGTGCCATATGTTGTCTGTGTTCTTAAGGGTATATATGTATGAATGGGGACAATTCTAAAACTGTGAACCATTTCCTGGGATTATGGACAAATGCATATTCATATATTTTGTGTATGGCATTTCAGATATGTCATAGGCTCTTATAAGTCTGATTTGACTTCTAGGTTAGGAACCATGTTGTCTTCATTTCAGTGGCTTGTTAGCTCCCTTCCGCCAGGGCTTCACAACTGCAAATGTAATTGTTTCATCACTTACTTGTGAAATACTACATTTTTAACAAGGAAACACTTCCTGACCTCTACAGCGCTTCATTACTCTTTACATAGTCACTCAGTGTTGGCTCTTATTTCATCAACACCTACCTGAACTATAGAAGAGACTTAAAATACTCTGAGCCACAGTGTGTGAATGACCAGTACCAGGGCCTAGAAAAGCAGCCCAAAATAGTTAAGATCTTGTTAGTTTATGGCATTGTGTCTGCTTGTGGAAGCAAGCCCTAAAGGAATTTATATATATATTTAAAATACATATATATGTAAAATAAAATACATATATATTTCCATATGTACATATATATGTATTTATATATAAATTTCTTGTGTACTTCCTGTGCATTTTAAACTTCTTAGTCCTAGATGTTTGCTTAAATCATGATGTGACACACATTGGGATTTGTTGAAGAATCGCTTATAGCATCTGGTTGTATGCCTCCGTCATGAGTTGTGCTGAAGCGTGAGTCTGGTTGCTGCCATTCCCACAGCCTGAAAGGAAGTTCTTCCCACTTGAAAGAACACTTTTGGAAATACAGGTGCCTGCTGTGTTGTGCGTGTTTGTCCTCCAGGGGTTTGTTTCCACAAGCATGGTGTCCTGTCCTGCAGTTGAGGTGGTGGGACTGCTGCGAGAGGGCATCGTGAAGGTAAGTGTTCCCGGGTCTCTACTCTGATGATGGGTTGATGCTGTCTCACGGGAGGGGATCCGGTCTCATAGGGTGGGGTTAGGTCCTGTGAGAATGGATTGTTAGCAGTGGGCATGGCACACAGCCCTGATTCCCTCTTGTGTGCTCACCACTAGCTCTTCTGATGTCATCTCTGTCGAGACATGCGTGAGAAATATATAGCTGCTGGCGCCCTGATCTTGAGCCTGCAGCACTGTGAGCTGAAGTAAAACCTCTTTTATTTATAGAGTATTTATAGAGTATTTTGTTATAGAAACAAACAAGACTGAAGTAGTACTGTTCCCTAAAATCTCTAAGCAATGAGTAACTTTTGCAAAACTCATCATACATAATCAAAAAATACAGTGAGATAATCTTTTCATCAAAGTACTTTTATTGCACCGGAGTGACATAATCAATAAAACAAAAGAAATGAAATAATGAAATAATGTCTCAGTTCTATAATAGTCATACGAAAATTAAAAAAATAAAATCTCAAAGAACAGTTAACTGTTTTACAAAACTCATATCCATATGACAATGAGCTTCACAGATACAGTAATCACTTTTGGAATAACCACTTACAAATAGATTATGTAGAATTAGCACTTTAAAAATGGTGGGAAAAATCTATTATAAAATCAAATGAAATAATTTACAAAAACCTTAAACATTTGAGAAATCATAAAAGTATCCAACAAATCCTCTCCATGAAAGATTGTTAAATATAGATCAAGTATATTTATCTAGCACAACAGTATTTTCCAAATTTTCTGAGATATTTTAAAAAGTCAATGAAGTAAAACTAGAGCAATCTGACCAAGAAGCATGTAAATAGGGTTAGAATTTGGCATGTTAATCAAGGGCACATGGTTGATTTATTCCTAGTCAGTGCTTCCATGGTCATAAGATACGACTTTCATCAGGTTGGTTAAGAACTATGGAAATCACTTGCCAGCCTGCGCATGGAAGCCCCCTGGTATGGTGTTGGGTAATGACTTCTACCTAGCACAAGAGTATGAATGAGTAGTCCCATCAAGCTTGATGATTGATTGACAGGTCCTCTGCAATTCTGCAAAGTCAGGACCACTACCTTAAGCACTGTTAGTCAACGCTGATTCGTTTGTAACCTGAAATGAGGTTAATGTACATCTCTTATGTAAAAAAATCAACTTTCCATTTTATTACTGTTGTGCTATCCTTGTGTGCTTGAGGTATAAAAATCTGAGTTAAAAAATAACATGAAAAATTTTAGCAACAAATAAGATTCCAAATATCAAGAAAATGTCTTTAAAATATTTTCAGATAGACTGGAAAAAGTAAAAAAGTAATCTCAAGAAAAGCACAAAATAAATCAGTCATCTTGCTATTGACAAAAGAACAATGGCTGTGTGATTTTTAGTTATCTCTAAAACTATTTCTGTGTAAGAAACAGGTCGTTTTTTCTTAGGTAACACTTTTCACTTGCATACTTTGGAACGTGACAGCAGTAAGTACATATGGCTCAGTAAACACCAATCCAAACGGCGTAGGTACAATGCTTTCTATGTATAAATGCACGTGCAAGAGGAAGTGTCAGGTATTGGGTAGATCTCGTTATCAGCTAGAGGATGCTGATTATTCTTATCAGTCTTGTTAGGTGAAGAAACCTTCGTATCTGAAATAACTTTGAGTGTCGTTGGCTTCCAAGTTGAAAACTTGTGTGTGAAAAGACAATATTCCTTGGGGGCCACCTAGTTACTTTATCATAAGGGGACCTGAAGAGAATATTGAGACTGGATAACGAATCAGTTGTCAAAGAACCAGAAATCCACTGGCATGTTTTGATGTAACTACTTTGTTAAGAAAATGTGCCATGTATTTACTTATTGTCTGTTGTCTTAATGATCTAAGAGCTTATTTTATAAGAAAAGTTACATGTGATGTCTACCTTAGTGAGCTCTGCAGTAGTGATTCTGAAATATTTCCAGCGAGGCCATCACTTTTGGAGGATGAAAGTCACAGAGGACTGCACTTTGAGTTTTGTTTGTGCTTACAATTGTCTACAACCATGAAATCAGATTCTTTGAGCTGCCAAGGACAGATGGGTAAAAACGTAATTATTGCAAGGTAAGCAATGATTCATGTAATAGACAAGACCATAATTACTACAGATCCTGCAATAGAGGAACTGTAGGTTCGCCGGGCACCTGCAGGGCTACGATCTTGTATGAGAGTGCTTTTAGGGCATCATTGGAACTGACTTGTGGAACTCCAGTCACAAAAAGTGGCAAACAGCAGTTGGGGCATGATTGTTCCTAAGAAATCTGATTGAAGGTCAAATTCTTTATTGCTGAGTTTTATGACAAGCCCATTTTGCTTAATGGACATATAGGAATCAAGGCCTTAATGCATTACATCCAGATGAAATTTCTGAATGAAAATGCTATTCCATTTAACAGTGAGTATACTGATTTAAAGTAAAAATAGATTGAGGTATGAGAGAAAATAAAATGAAGGTATTATCTTTTAGAAATAATTACAAAATAATGCTATGCTGCAATTTCAGTTTAAATATTTACACTGAAACATTTCCTTAAATATACTTTTGATAGAAAATAACTATAGCATTGATAATTTTATTACAGGTAAATAAAACAATTCAATCTCAGATCTTATTGATCCCTCAGTTTCTTGGAAATCTACCACTTGACTAGTATTTTATTTTGACAAATTAATGAAGTAGCTAACTCCTTTGGTTGCACTGTATATCACTCAGCATTGCATCTGAACTGGAAAGTTGCTCCGTTCGATTTTCTGACAGTTTTGGTCTTGTAAGCCTATCTGATTTTTTTAGCTAAATATTTATTATGCGTTCACGTGCGTGAATAACTTTCAAATATATATGTGTGGTGGTTCACTCAATGTAAGCAGACCGATCAATTACTGTGGCGTGAATTTGCTGATGGAAATGTTTGCATTATAACCATGACTACATCAGAAGATAGAGTACAACTATTTTTTTCTTTTTTTTTTTTTAGCACTCCTGGCAGTTAAACAAATTTAATGTAGCCAAGGATGCTTTTATTAGTCAGCTAACACATAACCACAGTTCAATGGGTGAAGTCATTCTGAAGTGCATGGACATGAAGGAAATGAAGCCAATCCTTCATTACACTTCCTCCCCCTTGAAGTCTGAATAATCCTTGTGTGTGGAGAAAATCCAGAAGAGGGGCACAAGCCTCAATGTCATGTAATAGTCTATTAGAAACAACTTTGGGAATCCATGACAGAGAACACTTATGTTTTAAGATAGATACAAGTAAAATATAATTTAAGGTCAACAGCAATGAAAACTCTGTAAAACTCAGTCCCAGGAAATTATTGCTTCTGTTAGGAAAATCAGTGTGGTATTTTTGAAGTACTTCCATAGTTCTAAAAATATATATACACAAAGCTAACTAAAATTTTAAGTACTTTAAACAATATACAATTTTGACATTCTATGATTTTATTTACTGTCAACTTGTAAGCTAAGTGCTTTTATACTTATTTGTCAAGAGCATATCTCATGTCTAATAAGTAAAGTGACTAATCAGATGCCTTCATATTCATATTCTTCATGAGAATTGGAGGGCATTATACAAAGTTACAAATAGCACATGTACACACCAGCAAAGTAATATATATATGTTCTCCAGTGAAGAAATAAAATTCAGTCAACAAATCAAAGGCTACTGTGCCTGTTTCATGAAGATAACTTAAAACTAGGAAAAAACAAATTATTAAAACATAAAAGTAAAAATGTGCAATGGCAATAGTGATTTAACTGTCCACTAAACTGCTCCCGGGTTTCTATTTCTGCCATTTTATTCACTTCTGAACAAATTGCTTTAAACACCATCTTGTGGACAAAAAGAGGTATATCATAGGTTCCAACAGATAGATGAGAATGCAGAAAGATAAACCTTATTTAAAGCCCAAAGCATATCAATAAAGTCAAACATCTAATAACAATTTTTACAGATAATGTATCTTAAGATAACTAAGTTCTGTCATTGTCCAAAATTTTCATTTCTATAATGTCATGAAATATGGAAATAAACATAGGATTACTCTGAGGCCATTAATTAAATTACATTAATCACAAGGTGAACAATTCCAAAGGTCAGGCTTGGCTTTTTTATATAGTTAGAAGTAATAGTTGAAGTCTTTAATTGGAAAAAAACAATGAACAAACTCAAGGATTTTTCCTCCCTTTTTCTTTAGATTCCAAAGACCATAAATTGTAACTAAAGCCATATGTTTTCTTTGCATAGCAAAACTTCTATCTGAAAGTGTTAATTGATCTTGGCACAAAATATAAGACTGCAACTCAAACTACTTATACATGGAACAATAATTTTTTGTATATTATCATGGCCCATAATTATTTTGTTTAAGTACATGTTGTCTGCAGTGCAAGCAAGAGGTAAGTCAAGAAATCTGTTAATTCCTTTCCCCCGCTGTAGACATTGTTGATACCTATATGAAAGTTAACTGTTTGGAATGGAACACAATGGTCTAAGAGATACGGCAACTGCCAAGTTATTTGGAGGAAAATTTCCCACCCTACTTTCGGGACCAGATTATCCAAATTTAATAGAAAACTAAAGGAACTGGACAACTGCCAAATCTCCACTTCATCTGATGTCATCATCTGGACTCAGTGTTTCATGCCGCTCTTGGTGCACACCACGTATAGTGTGCCACGGCAGAAAAAAGAATTGGGAGGTAAATAAAACAGTAGGGTGAGAAGGCCTTCCACCATACATGCAGACCTATTTCTTTCTGTTTTACTTACAAGTTCCAGTTACAAAAAAAAAAGGCAGGGGGGCTTGAATCATTGTGGCTGTCCTACTTTATAATAAATGTCATACAACTGTATTCCCCACTTTCTTCCTCAGGTTACCTGAATAAATTAAATCCTCAATACAGGAATAAAAAGTTACATATCCACGGAATTCTCAGAGAAAGATTTCTAAATATAGACTATATTATGCATCCTTTTAATTGTATAATTACAATGAGTAACTTAAGAAAATGAGTATGAAAGGATCAACTCAATGGAAAAAATATACTTATCAGCAAAAAAGCCTAAGAAAATAAATGATAAAATAAATATTTGAATTAGCAAAGAGTTGAACACCTATAATATGAAAAAATCTTTAAAACATAAAATGTATGACAAGTTCAAGTAAATTAATGTGGCAAATTCTAAGTGTTCAGAAAATTTTGCAAATTACAATCAAGATATACACATAGCACCAAATTTTAGATCTATGTACAATTTTAAGGATAAATTATTCTAAGAAAACATGTATATTCCAATTGTGTAATTTGAAGATACAGCACCATTATAGGTATTGCACAGGAAAGAAAGTGAATAAAATGAATTTAAAACAAATAACTTTGGAAAAGAAAAACTTAAAATTGAAATATGTAACAAAATTCAGTCTAAAATAACCAAGAGGTTGTATGTATGCACAGCCATGTAGACAGTGTCTGACCAGCAGTTAATCTATCTATAATGAAAACCAGTTCAAATCATGGGTGCATTTGAATAAAACTTGTCTTGATTTAAGCATGCTCCTTTAAATACATCTCTGTTCACAGCTTTGTCCAGCTTTTCTGAATTCACTTGTTAGTGAACAGACCAAAGCAGTCCTCCTTCCCTGTGTTTCGCAGATTGGAAACTGCACTGCTCTTCGAAGAGATGTAAGCTGATTTCCAGACAGGCAATGTTCTGGTGTCTTGCACCCAGCATCTCTGTATGGCAGAGACCCACCATGAAGATTGCAGCAACTTCCTCATGCCCAATATTCTAGAAGTCAGTTGTGTTCAGCCAGCACTTTCTCAAAATAATGCTCAGGTAGGCAATGAACATTGTGTAGTAATCTGGTTGATCATCACGTTTTTGCTTCCTTGGCAGATGTAGTTTCCAAGTGTGTGTTAACTGTGGTTTTGAGTGCTGGCTTATGGATTCATTCAGTTCCCCTGGCTGAGCTGCTCTTGTGGCTTCTGGAGAAACTCCGGTTCTCCTGGAGAGCTTTCGGATTTTACCTTGTCAGGTGTACTGGCTGACACCACCCTTTCATCTAGGGAAAGCATTTGTTGCAAACCCCATTCTTGGTTTTGATGTCTGCTTCTTAAGAGTCTGGGAGTGATGAGGTCAGAAGGATAATGGTTATAAAAGAGGAGGCCAAAGTTCTTGCCAGGCCAGTTAAGCTTCGAGAGTTTCAAAGACATCCTGGTGCCTTCACTCTTGACTACTGCTCAGGGAGAAAAATCTCCTGTTTTTTATCCAATGGGACCACAGAATGTTAGTCTTTGCTTGTGAAACTCCTATGCAATTAGAACTTGTTCCTTCCTGGGTGTGTATTCACATCAGTGCTGTTTGCTTTGAACAGAGCTCATGAAGAGTTAACAGAGCCATCTCCATAGTTGGTTGTGGTGGGTTTGGAGGCTTCTCGATCAAATAGTCTCCTGTATTTTTTTTTTCAGTGAGTGAAGCTCATATTGCCTATCTCTTTTTCAGCAGAAGTAGGATGGTTTGAGAATTTTTAAATTGTAAAAACAATCAAAGCATTTAATAGGAGCAATGCACTATATCAAAAAAGATAACAAATTGTTAGCAATAAGTGAAACTTCTAAAAGATCAAGATAGTCTGAAACTTTAGAATTCTGAAATGAAAAGTCCAAACACATGGGGATGACCCTACAAAATCTCCATCACTGCAAGTCTACTAAATCATAAGATGAAATTTCTTTTTGAAGTAGAACTAATAAGCTTTGATTGTATATTTCATGTCAAACATCAAACAAGAACATAGTCATGGAGAAGTAAAACCTATGGAATGAATTTGAAAAAGAACTAAACAATAAAATGCTGATTTTTAAATTACTACAGGAGTCAAACTGTTTTTACTCTCTGGCAAAAAAAAAAAAAGGAAAGAAAAAGGCAGCCCGCACATCATGAATGTGAGTTTGCCATTCTCAAGATAGTTCCAATAGCAGGAAAGGCCACCAGGAGGCCGATCTTGCACATTTGTTCATTTCCCACCTGACGGAAGATGGGCGGGATAGAGGCAATCTTCTGGGTTACATCTTCCACTTGGTCCTGGGGGTCCTTGTGGTCCTGGGACTCCTGGTGATCCTGGCAAACCCAGGGCTAATGAAATAAAAAGAGCCTGTCAGAATGCAGACCACATACGACCCTCTTTACTGACATTATCCCATTTGACATAGAAACCTCACAGTGCAGAAGGCATGTGTCCTGTTCTTTGAGGTTTGTTTATGCTGTGAGGTACCAGCCCTCTTACCTGCAGTTCCAGGAAGGCCTGGACTCCCTGGTAGCCCAATTCCAGGTTCACCTCTTTCTCCTTTCTGTCCTCGGTAGCCTAAGAGAAATACATAAAACAGAGGGACACAAAAAGAGCATTCTATAGAAAACACACATTTTCTGATTGTGATGTGTATATAATGAATAGTATACTATCTTATTGTTTGGCATATATGTTACAGTAGCGAGCATAAGGCAATGATGATCTTAATATATAACTACTATAAGAGATTACTGATAGTCTCAATCTTGTCAGTTTGGCAGAGAAAATGATGCCTTGATTGCCTTAAATCCATCCTTCGGACCTATGTTCAATTAGCTGAGGCAGGTGCTAAGGATGCCTTCTTGGTAAGAATTCTTATTGGAAGCAAGGTACAAACTAGAGTTATGCCTACTAAAAGGACAAAAAGTGACAAGAAGCCACGCCTTAGTCCAATAGTTAAAAAAATGAAAAAGCAATTGAACTCCAGCAACTTAGGGTAACTGACAAAAGTGAATTAGGCCAGAGACCTGTGTATAGGTTAACATCAAAACTATTCTGATTTTTCAATATGCTTGCTGTATAAAGTAGAGAAATTTGTGCCTCTATGCCCTAGAAAGAAGCATAAAGCACATTTATCCAGGCTTTAAATATTGGTATCTGTAATACTTAGAAAAGGTTTGTGCTATGTGCTGTTATTGTGTACAATTACAGATGGGAAGCAGAAGTTTTGATTTCTGCTTAACAATGCATTCAAAACTTTTCCTAGACCCAAATGTACAAATTGGTTAACCAGATCATGCTTCTTGGCAGGAAACTGAGGCCTTAACTCAGTGGTGTCTTTTCATAAAAGTTATTACAAAACAACATAGCATGAGGGAAAGGTAATTCTGTCTGGAAAGAGTGCCTAGCTTTGTGGTCATCATTCTAAATTCCAACCATATCTAAATAATGATAACATTAGCAATGTAATTATTATTTACTAGATGTGCCCTGACCATGAATGTAAAAGTAGTGGGGAAGAATCCAAATTAGTTCAGATGGGCATGCATCCTTCTCAGCTATGTAGTGGAGAAAAAGGCAAATATACAGCTTTAAAAATAATTTATATATGCGTAATTGTGAGAAGCAGAGAGAGAAAGAAAAGACTTTCACAAAGTAGTTTAACTGCTGTGAGAGTTAGAGGAATAAAGTGGCCAGAGTGATGCCAGGGACACCAAACTCTGTCTGTGTCTCCCATGTGGTAGCAGGGACCCAGGTACTTGGATCACTACCAGCTGCCTCTGGGAAACACTTGAGTAGGATGCTGGATCGGAAGCAGGGTAGCCAGAACTTGAACCAGGTAATTCAGAATGCAGCAGCTCAACCTGTACTACACTATACCGCCTACCCCGATAAGGACATACTAAATGCATTAAGGATATTTGTGGATACCTCCACACGTTTATATTTGGAAAGTTTGTTAAGAATGTTCAATAGAATCCTAGATTCTAGAGAATAGTGGCTGGAACATGGGGTACAGTAATGGTAAGTGGATTCACTTAAAATCTTTTCAAAAATCCTTTGTAAGTTCCTTTCATTTAACATGTGAACAACCAGGAAAGATGTATGGAGTCATTTGAAAGTATGTTCCAACCTAATAGATAAATAATGTGAAGTAACAGTTGCAAACTTTTCTAATAGGGAGAAAGCAAGGGTATCCAATGATAGGAAGTACACAGAACTCCAAGTAGGCATGACCGGGAATGCTCTTCACCATGACACATTAGAGTCTAACGTCCTACAGTAAAACAGTTTCTAAAATGTGCATAAGAAAATATCTTAGAGATCTCTGATCAGACTTATGGCTGATTTTTTTTAATCAGAAACCTACAGGATAGAAGAGAATGGACAGAAATTGTCTAGGTTCTAAGAGGAAGAGACTGCCAGGGCTAATGTAGAGCTAGGCTTCTGCCTGCATCGCTAGCAGTTTAGATGGGTGCTGGTTTGAATCCCTGCTGCTTCACTTCTGATCCAGCTCTCTGCCTGTAGCCTTGGAAAGCAGCAGCAGATGACTCAAGTCTTGGATCCCTATATGGGAGACCTGGAAGAAGCTCCTGGCTTTGGATCATCTCAGCTCCCGCTATTGTAGCCATCTCAGCAAAAAGCCAGCAGATGGAAGTTCTGTCTGCTCTATAAATGTGCTGCAAGAAAAATAAATATTTAAGGTTTTTTTTTTTTTTAATTGGGAAGACAGATTAGTTTTATGGAGAGGAGAGACAGAAAGATCTTCCATTTGCTGTTTCACTCCCCAAATGGCCACAACAGTCAGAGCTGAGCTGATCCAAAAACAGGAGCTAGGAGCTTTTTCCAGGTCTCCCATGCAGGTGCAGAGTTCCAAGGCTTTGGGTCATTCTCTGCTGTGTTCTTAGGCAGAAAGCTGGAAGGGAAATGGAACCAGCACCCATATGGTGCTTGAAAGGTCAGGGTTTAGCCACTGAGCCATCATGCCAGGCCTGAAAAATTAAAAAAACTCCCAGAATACTACGTCTAGTATAGCTTTCAATTATACATGAAGGTGGAATAAATATCTTCCAAAAACAAATAGAAATTAAAAGAAGTTGCCACTGCCTGGCTGGCCCCATAAATGGTGCTATACATAGAATGTACACAGAAACAATGTCATAAGTTTCATTTATAATTATTATAGGAAAAATCCCTTAAATATTCTGGCATTTTACTAAGGATTTGAAGGTTATCTATAATGAAAATTATAAAACATTAAATATAAGAGACATGGAAAAATCTGCCATGTTTGTTGATCAGAATATCAAAATGTCAATGTGATCAAAATGTCAATGCTATCAAATACAATGTGACCCCAACCAAATCACCTATGACATTCTTTAGAGCTAAAAACTTGCTAATATTCATAGGGAAACACAAGATACTTTGAATAGCTAAAGTGATCTTACAGATGGAAAAAATAGCTGGGGCATCACAATATCAGCACGGATGTAGGGGAAAATGAACTCCTAATCCACTTTTGTTAACTAGTGCAATTTATGAAAGCCAAAGTGGAGATTACTCATATGTCTGAAAATAGACTTACCATATGTCCCAGGCATCCCACTACTGGGAATTTATGCAAATGAAATGTAGTCAGCATATGAGAGAGTTAACTGTGCTGTTGCTTATAGTAGCCCAATTCCCCAGACTTAAGATATGGTATCAACCCAGATATTCAACTGGTGACTGGATAAAGGAAAAGTGGTATATATAAACTATGGAATACTATTCAGCTATAAAAACAAATCTTTTGTAACCAATCACATTCAATTGATAACCTTATGCTTAGTGAAATGACAGTCGCCAAAACAGACATCAATTTCCCCTAATGTGTGATAACACAGTCTATGAGTAAAATTGATAACCTGAGGTTTGATTTTTGTTTGCAACTTTGTCTATACTTCTGAGAAATAATAGTTTTTGTTATTTTCTACTTACTATGTGTGGATATCTCTGTCTAGTGGAGTATTAAGCTTGTGATGGCAAAATGAAATGAAAATATGCTATTATAAAAAGTAGGGGGGAAATAAGGAGTAAAGTGGATGGGAGGAATGTGGGGGAAGTATATCTACACTTCTAAATCTGTATCATGAAATACATGAACAGTGTTTATAATAAACCCGTTAAATGTCTATTCACTTTAAATTCAGTTATACTTCAATTAATGCAAGCACATATTCATTCACATATTTCAACACAAAAATAAACCAAGTATCTTAATATATTTGTAGAATAGGGTAGCACATCTTTCTGTCAAATGTATAAGCTTTATGTAAAAATCTTAGTATATAATTAACATTCTGTTAAGAACAGTATAAGCCACTTATGTACTCAAATGCAGGAGATATTTCTAACCTTGATTTTCCTAAGAAGGTCGTACACTCAGTGATTATGAAGGCTGCCTTGAAGCACTGGCAACTTGTTTTACTATAATAACACAGCTTCATATAGGAAGGCTAACAAAGTAACAGTTTAACTTTTTCTAATGTTAAATGATTCACTTCTTTAAAGTAAGTCTCTTTAAATTGAATAGAGAGTAACCTATTTGCAGGCACATATTTCCACAAACTTTAAGTGTGTAAGGTGATAGTATGCTATTACTGTAGCTTATATTGAGATAGTATTAATTATTGATAAATTCCCAGGTCATAGACTGTATTTGCTTCCAGCAGGAAGATTTCAGGTTCAATGTCAGGCAATTATTTCAAAACAAATGTGTATAACTATAAGCTATTGGACAAATGAAGCAAACAAAGAAGTTATGCCGGCATTTGGCACAGAATGATTTTTCATCTGTGATGCCTGCCTTATGACTTAAACATTTTTAGCCTCCATATTTGTGGTCCACTAATTGACAGTCACACTTCCATGCCATCACATTGTGAAAGGCCTCTGCTGCTAACATATTTGAAAGATCGATTCTGTAATAGTCACATAATCTACCCTATGAGTCACTGACTTACAAACAACAAAGGTTTTCTTTCATTCTAAACCAATCAAAGCTAAAGTTTGAAAATTAGACAACTACTTTCAACACTGTTCTTTTAAATAAAACTGATGGTGTGTACATGAAATGTTTGCAGACCGTTGTTTCATTTTTTTGAAACTCATAATGGACAACTCAGAAAAGTTGCCTTTATACACAAATCATAAACTTTTGCAGAACATCCAGTTGTTTCATTTTTACTTCATTATCGAAGAATGATTATAAAAGCAACCCTAAAAACATTTTGCTTCAGAGAAAATATTTTCAGCAAGCTGTTATTCATTTAAACCTGCAGTCCCCTGATGAAGCCAGAAACTCCATGGTGGACAGCACATGCGGTTACATAGTGACAGGTGTTTTACTTATATCCAAAATCAATATTCAGCAAACCTAAACTAATATTACTTAAAATATCAAGAATACAAGATTTGATGTCTCTTATTAACTCCACTTGTGGGATTCTTTCTGAAATAAATGGGGCTTTCAAATGGGGTCTCTCTTCCTCAGAGTTTTCATAGAAGAGGATCAACTGTACTAGCAGAAG